CACCTTTCAAAAGAGTTTTGTGACATTTTTTTGAATTTTTGCAATAACCTGCTGGTCCAGGGGCTGCGGGAGGGGAGTGGTATTAGGGGGCAAAAACTTCCCCTTTAAGAAGCTCATGCCCCCAAAAAGTCGCTCCCCCACACTGTGGGATGCCAGGGGCATTGTCTAAAAAGGAGGCACTTAAGGTCAAATTTCTTTTCGTTAGGTAATCTTTACTTTGGGGGGGCAAAGCATGGTGTAACCAGTTATAAAAAAAAGTCCCTATGCCCCCATCCCTTACTGTTTGCCCTCCAAGCACACACAAATTACCCTTGGGGAAATTTCTTTTGCCTGAAGCTCTGGGTTTTTTAAAGGAAACCAATAAAGGGAAATTTGAAATCCCCCTTTGCATTGGAAAACCATCAACAAATTTCCCTGTTTTTAAAGGGCTTTGCCTGGGAGTCCTTTTCCTCCTGAGAATGTAGGCCCTGTTTGGGCATTTTTTCCAAAAACAGGCTTTTCATCACTATTAAACACTTGTTCAGGTTTCAGCCCTTTCACTTTTCTATGTTCCTTAATTCCTGCACAATTTTCACCCGCCTAGGTAGTAGTTGGTAGACAGAAAACCGCCCGGGAGGTACTCCCCCCTGCCAAGTGATTTTTAAAACGAAAGCCTGTGATTGTTTTAATGAGGGTTGGATTGCTGGTGCCCTTTTTTCTGTCTCATAAACATGCAAGATTTCAGGTAATCTGCACTTCTATTCATTAGGTCCCTACACATAATGTACAAGCGTATTTATACATACCCCTTGGGTTTTTCTTTTTTTTTCTTTCTAGTTCTTTTCTTGTTTTTTTCCTCTTATCTCCAGGGGGAAGTGGAACAGAATTTTCCCCCGACCCATGCGGTTGTAAGGGGAAAAACTAAAATCCGGGAGAAGGGGGGCTAGTAACCCCTTCCCCTTATTTTTTAAAATGTAAAAGGAGAAACTTTTGTTTTTTTTGGGCCCCCCCGCCTGGGGTGGGATGGCTGATGGTTGAAAAAAAAGAAATTTTTCAGCCCTTTGTGGTCCGAACGGGCAGTCCCCATCCCTTATACACTTTGGATCCCACAAGCTTTTTAAAATTCTAAAACCAACCTTGCGGCCCTTAAATTCCTCCCTCACACTGTTGCGGGAAATTTTTTTAATTAAATCCTCAGCAATTTCCCTACCTTTTACAAAAAAAGATCGCTTGAGAGACCTTTCTCCTGCTAGCTGTTTTTCTTTTATCCACCCCAAAAGAGTCTCTCAACATCTTCCATCACTTCGATCTTTGTTTTAAAAACACTTTAAAACCTTTTTGGAAAGAACGTTTTCCTTGATTGTCTTTCTGGGCCCACAATTAAGGGGTTGATTGGGTTTCTTGTACATTTGACTGGGGGCGGCGTACGACCCCACTTTCATATTTCAATGTTCTTTCTTCATTTCTATTGGAATTTAAAACCTTATTGGTGTAGGGTTTGGCACAAAACTTTTTTGGGGGCCCATGGTACTTATTTTCCAGAAACAGCACCGAAAACACTGTATAATACAAAATTTTCCCGTTTGTATGCTTGGTGTTTACCGCGGAGGGGCTGGTAAAAATGGCACGGGGGGCCCATGGGGTGGCTGGGGGCGCACATTGGCCGTCGGGGACGAAAATCGGGGGGGGGGTTTTTTTTTTCGGTTGCGCGGAAAAATTTTTTGCGTTAAAGCAAGGGGTATGCGGATTAATGCTATTGATCCCATCGTTTGGGGGGTATGTTTTTCCCTTAAAAACCCAATATCTAAAACCCCTCCTTTGAGTGCGGCTTTGTATTTCCCCTTTTCCAGGATCAATCGGGTTAATAAAATAACGGGTTTCCCTTTGAACCCCTTTCACTAAATATTCCCCGCTCCACTAAAAACGCTCGTCAGGTCTCAAATCCATTGTCTCCATTCACTCCTATCTAACACGCCGCCGCTTCTAAAAGCCAAAACCCCCCTCGCCACAACATTCCCTTTACCCCTCCCCCCAACCTTTTTTCGGGGACGACCCCTACCCCGTTTCCTTCCCCTACGATTTTTACGCTCTCCATTCTTTACTTTGATCCATTCTCTCAAAATGACCAAACCACCTAAAACAACCCCTCTTCGCCTTTTGACAAACTTTTATTAAACTCCACCCTTCTCCAAATTTTCCCACACTCCCGAATTTTTGCATAATATTTACCCCACACATTGTTTTAGGCGGGACACTCCACTCCCCCCAAACCTCCCCCCCCCCTTGCTGCGAATTTAAAACCCAAGCTTCACACCCAATAAGAGTTTTGGTACTACTATACTTTATAATCCCTTCTTTGCCCCCCATAATAACTTTTTTTTGCCTCCACAATCCCTCAAGCCACTACCTTTTTTCTTCATCAATTTATGTTAACCCACCCTTATAAACCCATCCGCTGAACTTCAACTCCAAATACGAAAACATTCACTTCTTCCATACTCCTCCCCCCCAATTTGATATCCAATTTTTCTTTATCTAAAATTTGATACTCCATCACTTAAAATTTAAAAATTTAAGGGATTATTTCTAGTCCTAGGAAGGGGGTTGGAGACGCAACTCCCCAGGGAGGTACTCCCCATCCTCCAAAAGTGAGTGTAAAATAAAACCCTGAAATTGTATTACTTTGGGTAAGATTGTGGTGTCTTTTTTTCTGTTTCTAAACTGCAAGATTTGGGTACGTCTTCCTACTTCTACTTACACTTAGGTCACACACAAAACAGTAAAGAATCATGGCCCCCCGATAACGTCACCCCAAATGCACCAAATATGAAGTTATTTATGAAGGGGTTTTGTACGTGTAGTTTGGGGGGTCTGGAAAATGGATAATTATTTCACAATTTCCTTTTGGGAAAAAAAATTCGGTCAGTACTGGACCGAAGTACTTCTGGATTAAAAAAATATCGTTCCCCGGGGGGTCCCGTATATCTACCCCTCGGGGGTTTTCTTCTATTTTTTTTCTATTTCTTCTTCTTGTCTATTCCTCTTATTCCATGGGGAATGGAAAACAAAATTCTTCCTCGTAGCTGCGTGTTAAGAGGTGACTAAAATTTTCCGGGGAAGGGGCGAAACCCCCTTGTTTATATATTACTAAATTGAAAGGGAAAACTTTTTTTTTTCCTTTTTGGGGCCCCCCGCCTCAGTGGGATGCGGCCGGTTTTTGTTGAAAGAAATTTTACTGGTATCCAGGTAAAGGGGTTTTATGTAGGGATAAGAAAATAGGAAAAAAACAGGGGATGCAGATGGCAAGGAGGCTTTAGAGGGTAGGGGATGTGTAGATCAAGGGGTTTACTTTAAAGCATGTTTTGAATGGATTTGATAAAGGGGGAAGTTTTCATTGCTTTTAGGGTTTAGAAAGGATATGATAAAAGGGAAAATGGGGGAAAAAATGGGGCAAATGTTGAAGTGTATGGAATAGGTAGTAAGTTATAAATGTTTAAAAGACGTTTTATGAGGTTAGGGGCTCAGGTTGGGAAAGTGTAGGAGAGGGGAGATTACCACCGGGTAAAAGTGGGTTTTAGACAGGGATGTGTATGTCCCAGGGTTTTGTTTAAATTTTTTTAGAGGGGCGAAAAAGAAAAAATGAGGGTGTTGGGGAGGGGGGGTGGGATTAAATATGGGGAAATTCAAATACAAAACGTGGTTGACACATTTACTTTTTGTGGGAAACTCTGCTTTGGGAGATTCTAAAGAAAAGTTACAAAGGTTGTGGACGGGTTGGGGGGTTTTAAAAGGTGAAATTTAAATTGAATTAAAGAGTAAGGTGTGGGGTATCAAAAAATTTTGATAAAAAAAAAATGGATATCCATTGGGAGAGGGGACTATGAAAAAAGGGAAATTTTTCAGATTTTGGGGTTGACTTGTCGGATGGGTTTAAAAGGATGAGGTTCCCCACAGAAACGTAAAGGGAAAAAAAAGGGGTGGTGTGTTGGGTAATTGTTGAGAAAAAAACATTATCCAGGGAGGCAAAAAAAGGGAATTACGAAAGTAGGTGGTCCCAACCTCTTATATTATGTGAGGTTGGGTTGTAAATGCTGGAGCGAGGAGGGGGTTGGGGGCAGGGGAGTGTCCTTTTAAAGGGGCAAGCGGGGTGAAAATTTTATGCAGAGAAATGAGTGTGGAAATTAGGAGGGATGGGGAGTTACTAAAAGTTTTTAATCAGAGGGCTAAAGAGGGGTGTCGGGGGGTTTAGCTCTTTAGAGAGAATGGAAAAAAGAGAATGACTTGAAGAACGTAAAATCTGTAGGGGGAAAGGAAAGGGAGGGGAGAGGGGGTTTTCCTCGAAAGGAGAAGGCAGGAGGTAAAGGAGCGTTTTGGGCGAGGGGCTTTGGGTTTCCAGCAAGCGTTTTCATGAGCGTTTGTGGGGAAAGAAAAGGAGATGAATGGCTTTTTTGGGGCCTGACGAGCTGTTGGGTGTGAGTAGGAAATATTTGTGAAAGGATTTAGGAAACCGGGTTTGCCCGGGCTTGAGTCCCGGGAAAAAGGAAGAAAAAATGCCCGAACTAAATTTTAAAAGGGGGGGTTTGGGATGTTGGGGTTTGGGTGACTACAAAAAGTCAATCTGGGCCCTCTGCAAAGACGTGATTATGTATGAGTGTGTGAAAGTTTTGATGATAGTGAAAGTTTTTTTTTTTTTTTTTCTGTTTTTGGGCCTTTTCCTTCTTTGGGTCACCCTCCTCGGTGGGAGCGGCGACGTGTTAAAAAAAAAAAACCCCTTCCTGGGGAGAGGGGTGGGGGACTGTGAAGCAATGCATTTTAAAATTTTTTTAAGTAAAATAATGATTGTTGGGCTTGTTTTAAAAATTATAAAACTACTATAAAGTTTGGGAAAAATTAAAGAAAAAGATCTTGAAATGGCCAATCTTAACACTAGAAAAAATGCCCCCAAACCTTTGCCTTTTAATTGAGGAATGTTAACCACTTCACTGGGTGTGGCTAGTCTAAGTTTTGAGGGTCACATCCTTGCCATATATCCCTGCCTCAGCTCACTCGGGTAAGCTGTGAGCGGTATTCTGGGCCAGATAGAGAGAATTTTCTATTACGAAAGAAAAAGCACGAGATTTTTTTTTTTTTTTGCTAATGAAAAAAATTTCTGAAATAAGAAATTTTTGCATAGCCGGAGCCATGTTTTTTGGTTTAAAACAGCATTTGTGGTGTATTTTTGTATGGGTTTTTTAACTGTATTTTGTTTCCTGGTCTCATTTGATAAATGGAAATAATTACAGAAAAGTGGATTTTGATTTGGTACATACTAAAAAAAGCTGGAAAAGAGCTCAAAAAATAGTGAAAATCCCAATTTTTTTGGATATTCAAGAGTAAACAAATCACTTCAAAACACTGTCAACTGGGGGTCTAATTACACTCCAAAAGACTGATATTTTTTGTACAATTTTTTCATTATTGATGTAAAATCTCCCATTTTTTTTTTGTGAATAAAAATTTGTGGGAATAAAAAGGATAAAAATGGAATTTATTGTAAAGCCCCGGGGAATGTAATAATGAACAAGGAAATGTTATTTAGGCCAGGAATGCCTGCATTTTATTCTGGACCCATATTGAAACTGGAAAAATTTTGAAAAAATTGTGTGAAATTGGGTTAATTTTCCAATTTTGACCCTTTTACTGGATAGTTTTAAATAGTTGACTGGGCAATTTCTTGTGCCATCAATAAAAAGGAAGGGATATAGCAAAAAAAGCTAAAAATTTTTTCGGAAAAGTAATTTAAAAAAACTAAAAAAAAAAAAACTTGTTAAATACGGGGAAAAGCAAATTCACAAAAAAAATTTTTTTTAAAAAAACTTTTTTTTTAACCCAAAAAAAACCCAAAAAAAAAAAAAAAAATTTTGGACAGTGGGACAAAGTTTAAATAGGGGCTGGACAGAAATTCAAAAACCTATGTATTATTTTACTGTTTTAATACCAGAAAAGATTCCAAAAAAAAAATGGTGGGAAAATTTAATATTATAAAATTTATGCTTTTTTGTGTGTTTAAGTACAGTTTTTAAAAAAATTTTTGCCTTTTTCTTTCCCAATATAACATGCAAGGGAATACAATTTTAAAAGCTTAATGATCTACCAGTTTAAATTGCTTTGGTTTAAAACTTTCCTCTTGTCCTCAAAAGGACTACATCAAACCTGCAGTCCCTTGGGCCCTTTTTGGTGTCATTGATCATTATCTTGTACCATTTCTCTAACTACCCAATGTGTTTTTAAAATCTTCTCAGGGTTTGTAATTACTAAGGGAACAACATGTCTGAAAGAAAACAAAAAAATTTAAAAGATGACATTACCCAAAAATTGTTCACAAACTTTCTCCATAGCACTCACAAAACATGAATAAAACTAAAACAAGACAATAAAGAAAATAATGTATGAGGAAAAAAATGGAGAAGTAAGCGCCTAAACAATTTGGTGATTAAAAAATATTAACAGAATGTTAAACAGAAAAATAAACAATATACATTAAAAACCTTTTATAAAACCCGTTTTACCCTGAGCAAAGTATGTAATGAAGACAAAAACTACCCGAAGCAATAGCAAAAAAACTTATGGATAAAGGCATAAAAGCATTAAAATACGATGAATTTTGGGCGAAATTTTTGTCAGTGCTTTTTCCGTGGCTTTCACTGAAAAGCAGTTTTCAATTTACCCCTTTTTTTTTTTATTTGGAAAGTTCCGCTTTTTTTTGGATACTATTTTCAGGCCCCAAAGCCCTTAACACTGAGCATTGACCCATTTTCTCAGTTTGTTTAAACCCTTTTTGCACTATCTTCTCTGTAGTTTTTAGTCTAGCTCTATCGCACACTTAAAATACATATGAAGTTTTAAAACGTTTTCAGGCTTTTGTTGCACTTGAAAGTGAAAAAAGGCAGTTTTATTTTTGGGATTTCTGCTTTATGGTGGTAGCCAGAATCTAACCCGCTGTATAAGTGGGGCCTTCCTGTTGTAGACATGTATTTGATCAGGGGGCTCCAATGATCTTTAAAAGGAGTACTACGTGTACAACAGTATTAAAAAAATTATAAGCAAAAAAGATAATAAAGAAAAAAATTTAGAGGTTTGACACCTTAAGTAACGCTGTCTAGAAGATATTGGGTATGAGCTGTCGTTCGCCCAAGCTACTTCTTTTTACACCCACCTTTTTACTACCTCCCCTGAAATGATGCAGGTGGCGTTTAATTTCTTGCTCTGTGAAAATGTAAAAAAATTGGTATACCTTTGTAAAGTGGAGGAAAAATTTAATTACTTCTACTAACTAGGGGTAAAAATTCCCCTTTTGTGCATCATTCTAAAAAATCCCCCACACCAATATAAATATCACCCAGGGAGCAGGACATAATTAAGTCACCTACAGCAACTAAACCAAAAAGATGTTTAAATAAAAGTTCCAAGTGCAACATCTAAAAATGAAAAAATTTAAAGATGTTTCTTTTTCACAATTAACTGCAAAATACATAATTTTTTCTCAGATTTTCTCACCTATCCTTTTGAGTGTAGGGACTACCATACTTTCCCCCCCCTCCACTTTTCTTTATACACTACTGTGCAAGGGAACACATTTTTTGAAAAAAAAGGGGAGAAAAACACCCACTTCTGCGCCGTTGCTTTTCCAGTGGGCCCTGCAGAAATTTTCCACGAGACTAGCACAAAAGGTTAACACTCAAACTTCAAGTGGGATGAACCAAATTTGGGGTGTCCGACCCCAAATTAAAAAACTTCGCTGAAGTTTTTTTAATTTTCTTTTCCAAACCCTTTAAAAAATATGAAAAAATTTTATTCTTAATTTTTTTTAACAAAATGGGATAAAACTCAATGGAAAACATATTTTTAATATTGACCTTTAATATGAGAAAGATTTCTAAAGAAACACAGATGCCCAGTTTTTCACAATAAAAAAAATTCAAAAAAAAAATCAGGCGGTATCTATTAAATTTTTGTATTAAATGCAATTAATAAAAATTAGCGTCAAAATGGTGGATCTTCATTTAACCCTTTTAGGGTCCGTCCGTGATTAGGGGTTTACGTTCGGGTCCAAACCGTAATCTACGTCATGGTCGTCACTCTGATAAACGGAGTGGTACTTTTTGGGGCCCAGATATGAGAGAATCATTATGTGGTTTTTGTGTCACCACATAAACGATCCTGCAGCACATGTGTATAAAAGAGAAAAAAAAAATAAATCATGATTTTTTGTTAAAAAAGCGACTTTGCGTGTTTTTCGTATGTTTTTTATAGTTGTTTTTGTGATTTCTTGGTTCATTTGATAGAATGGAAAACTATACAGAAAAAAAGATGATTTTGATTTGGTTTTTTTCCTGGAAATGGGGTTGAAAAATGAGCCCAAGAGCAAAAAGTTAAATTTTTGCTGATTTTCAGGTAAACAAACGACCCCCACACTCTAATACACCCACTGGTGGGTTAATATCATTTACAAATATGGGGATGATATTTAAAATTTTTACGTATTATAACAGAAAATCTTTTTTTTTTTTTTTGGAATAAAAATTCATTATGTGAATAAAAATCAAAATGAAATTTTTTTTAAAGCCTCAAAAGTAACTAATGAACAGGGAAATTTTTAGTTTAGTTCCAGGGGAAAGTTTAGGTACACTCTTAATACCACTGGTTGATGGCATTAAGCTAATTGATTCTTCATTATTTATTATCACTTTTTTCTGGGGGGAAAAATTCAATATTCTAATTGGAGCACCACAAGCATTTGTGTTGTGATTCAGTTCAGTCTTCACTTCTAGAGTCGCTACTTTGGGATCTTCCTTTTGCTGTGCTAGAAATTCACTTGGCTCTTGCTTCACAATGATGCTCTTGGTCTCTCCTTTCTGCTGGTTCTCTGGGACATGCACTTTAATTATTCTCTGATTAATATTTTGATGGCCAATTACTTCTTGTTGATTTTCTTGCTTATTATCAGGTGCAGATTTGTTATTTTCTTGTTTATTTGTACCACTTTGAGCAATCTTAAGTGCTAAAGAATACATATGAGCAGGAATATAATAAGGCACAAGGCGCCCATCTGGCTGCCGCACATGTATCTTACACACTTTACTCTGAACCCCATTGATGTTCGTCAGTTTGACTCCCATTTGGTTCTTTAATGGCTTAAGCTCTTGTGTTTTGTTTTCTTCTGTTCCATCAACTTTAATTTTGGGTTCTATTGCACTAATTGTTTGTCTTGTATCATCTTTGCTTTTTGTTAAAGTTGTATCATTACTAACAAAACAGTGAGGGTCAGTAGAAAGATACAATTTATTTGCTACCACAGATTCATTTACCTTTTCACTCACACAATTATTTTTTTCAGAGCTACATAACACTTTCCATTCCTTTTCTTTCTTGACAGGGGTTTCCTGTTTTATACATCGATTAAGATTTATATTGTCAACATTGTGGACAATTGTAATGTTTTCTTCAATTTGGGAAGATATAACATTAGTCTTCAGTTCTCTGGCAAGAGTAGCAGGACAGTCTTCCTGCTGCACTGTCCTCTCCTTAACTTGCGGGGATTCAGCAATATTCCTCGAGCTCTCAGGGTCCAGTTCATACACCCAAAGATCATACCAATTCTCTTGACCTGGTCAAAGTAAAAATAAATTTATGTTTTCATTTGAAATACTAATTGGGAAAAAAATATCAGAATGACTACTTCAATATAATTAATGAAGAGATGAAAACTATGTATGGCTTGCACAAAAATACTATCAGATTGACTTGAAAAATGAAAGTTTCTGGTAAGCCATTGCAAAATGCCTCAAGTACTAACTCGTGTCAATGATACAACTGGTTTCAGATGTAGAACAATGCACCAACAAATAAACAGTACTGGGGATGGGTTTCCTACCTCCTATGGTCTACAGTTATGCCAAAACACTGCATCTATTAAGAAAATTACCGAACTATTAGTGCTACAGTATTTCACTACCTTTTTTTTTTTTTTAACCATTTGATGACCCTGCACACTTTCTCAAGCAAACTTCAGCCACATGTCATGGCCAATTTAGAAAGCAGATTTATTTTAGCAAGTGTATTAAAAAGGTTAGTGGACGAGTTTGGGAGGGTGTGTAAAGGTAGAAAGTTGAAAGTGTATATAGTTAACAGTAAGGTGATGAGGGTTATCAAACAATTTAGATAAAGAAAAATTGGATATTACATTGGAGGGAGGGAGTACGGAAGTGAATGTTTTCAGATATTTGGGAGTTGACTTGTCAGCACATGGGTTTATGAAGGATGAGATAAACCGCAGAATTGATGAAGGAAAAAAGGTGAGTGGTGCGTTGAGGTATCTGGGGAGACAAAGAACGTTATCCATGGAGGCAAAAAAGGGAATGTATGAAAGTATAGTGGTACCAATACTCTTATATGGGTGTGAAGTATGGGTTGTAAATGCTTCAGCAAGAAGGCGGCTGGAGGTGTCGTGTCTAAGGGCAATATGTGGTGTAAATATTATGCAGAGAATTCGTAGTGTGGAAATTAGGAGGTGTGGAGTTACTAAAAGTATTAGTCAGAGGGCTGAAGAGGGGCTGTTGAGGTGGTTTAGTCATTTAGAGAGAATGGAACAAAGTAGAATGACCTGGAGAACGTATAAATCTATTGGGGGAAGGAAGGCAGGGTAGGGGTCATCCCCGAAAAGGTTGGAGGGGGAGGGGGGGTAAAGGTTTAGTGGGCGAGGGGCTTGGACTTCCAGCAAGCATAGGTGAGTGAACTGTTAGACAGGAGTGAATGGAGACGAATGGTTTTTGGGACCTGACGAGCTGTTGGAGCATGAGCAGGGTAATATTTTGTGAAGAGATTCAGGGAAACCGGTTAGCCAGACAAGAGTCCTGGAAATGGGAAGCACTTTAACCCTTTGACTGCTTTGGTCGTATATATACGTCTTATGCGCCACTGTTTCGAATGTATTTATAAATGTAAATTCTAGAGGTTTCAAATCAAGCAGCAGAAAGCTGGTAGGCCCACATGAGAGAATGGGTCTGTGTGGTCAGTGTGCACCACATAAAAAAAATCCTGCAGCCCGCAATGCATAATGAGAAAAAAAACCTGACCGTTTTTTTTTAATTAAAATGCAGACGTTGAGGTGTATTTTCATATAGTATTTATCATTGTATTCTCGTTTTCATGGTCTCATGTGATAAAATGGAAAACATATTACAGAAACAGAGATGATTTTGATTAGTTTCACAATGAAAACGACCTTGAAATTGAGCTCAAAGTAGTGGAAATGTTCGATTTTTACCAATGTTCAGGAGTAAGCAAATCACACCACACATCCAATACTCATCAACTGAGGAGTCTAATATTCTTTCACTAGTGCACTGATATTATTTATACCATTTTTACAATAATGCAGTAGTCTGCATAACAGTAAATTTTGTATTTTGTGTATGAATAAAAAATCAAAATGGAAAGCATTAGTAATATAAGAGGGGCCTAGAGACGTGACTAATGAACAGAGGATATGCTATTTTAGTGCCAAGAATGTCTACATTGTTTATTCTGGACCCTATTTTGAAATTGGCATCTTTTTTAATTTGCATGAAATTGGCCAAATTGTCAATTTCTGACCACTTTATTGGGTAGTTCAAATCAGTAAATGGGTGCTTTCTTGTACTCAACTGATAGAAAAAATGGAGTTCTAAAGAAATAGCTATGAGTTTTATCAACTGGAACAACGGAATTGGCCAAAAACAGGGCTCAAAGTTGGCAAAATCGCTGATGTGTGTATGTCGCCGAGACCGCAAACTTCGCGTGAGCGTAATTCCGTGAGTTTTCAACCAAATTTCATACTTTTGGTGTCATTACTATCGGGAAAAGATTATCTATCATTTCATAAGAAAAAATATTTTTTTTTCTTCCAAAAATTTTGTGACATAGAATGACAGTTTCAGAAAGGGTCTTGCGGCAGTCAAGGGGTTAAAGGAGGGGGTTTGGGATGTTGCCAGTTTGGAGGGACGTCTGAACTGTCATATCTGTGTGTTTCTGCAAAGACAGTGATTATGTATGAGTGATGGTGAAAGTGTTGAATGATGATGAAAGTTTTTTCTTTTCTTTTGGGGTTATCTTTCTTTTTGGGTCATCCTGCCTCAGTAGGAAGCAGCTGATGTGTTGAAAAAAAAAAAAGTGAAAAATATACTGAGAAATGAAATAACAGATGGATGATGGAATTTAAAGCTGTTTGGAGTGTCATCTGAAATGTCATATCTGCACTTTCTGCAAAGACAGTGATTATGTGTGAACGATGTTGAAAGTTCTGAATGATGGTGAAAGTGTTTCTTTCTTTTTTCTGGGTCACCCTGCCTTGGTGGGAGACACCTATGTGTTGAAAAATACAGATTGTAACAAAAATTTTGAGTATCATACAGAGAAGGGGATCTTTTACAAGTTATTAGTAAAAATTGTCACTAGATAATCTAAAGAAAATTTTAAGAATGCATATGCTACAATGGCTAAATATGAAATAACTTTCAAATATGTGGGTGGAGAATGGCTTAAAAGGCTGTTTACAAGATAGACGAGGCAAAAATTAAATTACATGCAGCTGCTGTGTGGTGTCCACACCTCAAATATGTAGATTAGATAGGAAAGGTCCAAAGAGCTACCAAATGGATACCAAAACTAAAAAATAAAAATAAGAATTTTGAAGAAAGGGTGAAATATCTAAAGATGCTTGTGCTGGCTAATAGGTGGAAAAGAGTAGATAGGATAATGACATACAAAGTTATAAAAGAATATGGAAGAACAGATGAAGAATTTTTGTACTCTATCTTCAACAGGCTTATTATTATACCTACTTAACGGAGTACTAAACCTGTAACGGTCATACAGTGCCTAAGGAATGGGAAGCAATCAGGTTCAATCTGAGAAGGTGAGAACTAGTTCAATTCCTTAGATAAAGAGTCCCTCATCGGCATCAAGAAAAGGGACCTTCAACAAGAATAATAGGCCACAGATGTAAATTAAGAAATAGAGTTCAAAGGATGCAAGGAATTTCTTTTTTCTTTACAAATAGAATGGTAGAAGAATGACAGAGTGAATATCAAAATGGTATACAATACCGACAGGTTGGTAGGCAAGACACACAGGCAACAGTTAGGCAACTTTATTCCGAAACATTTCGCCTACACAGTAGGCTTCTTCAGTCGAGCACAGAAAGTAGGCAGGAGCAGTAGAGATGTGAAGATGATGTAATCACTCCACCACCCTTGAAGTTGTAGATTTGAGGTTGTCAGTCCCTCAGCCTGAAAAAGAGTTCTGTTCCATAGTCTGAAACAATCTGAAGATTAAGTGAAATGAAGTTGCCTAACTGTTGCCAATGTGTCTTACTTACCAACCTGCTGGTATTGTATACGATTTTGATATTCACTCTGTCAGACACTGCAACACAATGGCATCTTGGTACAGAAGAGAAAGCACCTTGGACAACTTTTTTGAGTGAGAATTGTTTGAGCTGAGATGGACATGATTTCTCAGTGGCTACATTCTCTCTAGTACTACTCTGCACCTCTCCTTCCGACAGTATATAAGTCTCCACACTGTCATTTGATCTTCAGATTGTTTCAGACTATGGAACAGAACTCTTTTCCAGGCTGAGGGACTGACAACCTCAAACCTACGATTTTAAGGGTGATGGACTGATTACATCATCTTCACATCTCTAATGCTCCTGCCTACTTTCTGTACTTGATTGAAGAAGCCTACTGTGTAGGCAAAACGTTTCGGAATAAAGTTGCCTAACTATACTCTCGTACATTCTCTTCTTTGCCTCCATGGATAGCATTATTTGCCTCCCCAGACACCTCAATGCACCACTCACCTTTTTTCCTTCGTCAGTTCCATGATTAACCTCGTCCTTCATAAACTCATCTGCTGACAAATCTACTCCCAAACATATGAACACATTCACTTCTTCCATACTCCATCCCTATAATGTGATACCCAGTTTTTCTTTACCTAACTCGTTTGACACCCTCATCACCTTACTCTTATCTATGTTCACTTTCACCTTCTTTACACAGTATTTTGAAGCTCAATATCTGGAAGCAGTTATATAAAACTCATCCACAATGAATATATTAGCACCAAGACATATAACTTATGGCAAGACAGACACTTGGCACACTATGCCTTTGAAGACAGAGTTCTACATATGAACTGGGAAAAAAATGACTTACCTAACCTCCATAGTCCTGTTAGAGAAAGAGGATCATCTGGTCGACTTAGCACTAATGGGTGGAGGAGCTTCACTTGCTTGTTGCGAGTGTCTGTGAACTTCAGAACAATATGGATCTTGAACTCCCCCCATCCTCGCCGTGTCAACACAAAGGGAGGATGTCTGGGGGTGTGAGCAGTATATTACTAACAGGAATACATGAGGCAGTTCAGAACATTTTCTATTTCTCTTATCATGACAATTTTTAGTAAAAAAAAAAAAAAAAGAAGAAGAAAATGTTAAGATATTAGTAATTTTTTTTAGGATGCATATGCAGGTGCAGGAAAAGGAATGTGCTGAGTTTTTAATACACTGTCCATTTCCCACCAAGGCAAAGTAACTGGAAAAAAAAAAAAAACTGATTCATGCTGATACCATTATACTCTTAATATACTCCCATTTTTTTTTTTTTTTGCCTCCAGAGAAACCATTTTTTTTTTCCACAGATGCCTCAACACACCACCTAACTTTTTTCTTTGTCTATTCTATGGTTCCACTCATTTTTCATAGACCTATCTGCCAACATAGCTAAATTCATCCTTGACACTGTTCTTTCTTGTAACTCAAAGAACAATACCGAGAGATACAACTTAATTAATGTTATGACATGTATTAAAAGTATCAATGACTGCATTAAGAGCACACACAGATAGATAACAAGGATTAAAAGGTAGTGATAAAAAAATAAAAAGTGGATTCCATAGTAGGTTTACTAAAAGGATAGGAAAACATATTGAAAGCTACAATATTTAGAATGCTCCCAGTAATTCACTGGTGACTGCAAATGGACAGCAATGTTGTAAAAATTAATTTTCTATTACATTAACTTAAACAGAGTACTACACTTTAATGAAATGGTCTTATGATGCAAGAGGTGACCTGATGTGTATGCTAGCATTCAGCATGAATATAAGATTAAAACAATTACATCACTTATAAAATTAAAGATTGTTTATATATTTACTGTACTATTATTTTCCTGTCAATGCTTTCATGTCCTGGTATATTCTATGGCATTTACAGTTAAAAACCATAGAACAGAAACTGAGGACCATACATTATCAGTACAACAATATTTGACTCCATATTAGCTATGATACCCAGCTTACACTAGTCAGCAACTTTTGCTGTTTGACCAACTCATTATGCTTATCAACAAATTCAGTTATATGGGAAGCCAAATACAGCTTCAACCCAATTCACCTGCATTTCAAATTCAAAAATCATAAAACTTTGTGCAGATTAAAACAAAAAATCTTAATTTACTGAATAATTTCATAAAAATATTTAAGACTAGTGATGATAATAAAATTACTATTAACAAAAAAAATCATGTGATGTGGTACATTGATACTGAGATTGTCATTGTTAATAGTGACTATCATCATATGTTTCTGTTCTACAAGTCCACTCCTATAACTATATTTCAACTAAAATTAAATTATATACTTTAAGTTCACCATGAAAAGAAAGCAGAGTTACACAGCTGAACGCAGAAGACCTAGGTTCATGGACAAGGGTGATAAACAGTTATTCTGATACTATTGTATACACTTTTGTATTTAGAAATATCTCTACATTCCTTACTTAAGAGTGATAATATGGTGTGGAGCATAACTGTGATCGAGAACAAAGGTGACAGCAGAGATGAAGGAAGAAATGTCTTCACCCTGCAGCGGTGCCCTCACATACACCTGCCACTTGTACCTCAACACTTCAGCATTACTTTCATCAGCATGTGCAGTTATATATTGATATGTGTTTCCAACTATCACCCTGAAGAGAAAAGAAATATTACTTAGGTAAAACAACATAATCTGCACGAGAAATATAAAAAAAATTACTGTATGTGCCAAAAAATCTTTATGGAACATACAAAAAATATGCATATTCTTTTTGCTGTACCTGGCGTGTTTTTTCTTGCATTCGAAAGCTAGACTGCAACAGTTTAAAACATTAAATTGTATTAAATACAAAAAGGCATAATACCATGACCGGAATAATACACAAATAACCTGCACGTAGTGCGGGTTATTTGTGTATTAAATTATATTTTTTACATTACTTACTTTATCCATCAAATACTATATAATAAACTTTCAATAAGAGAATATAACCTTATAATTTTTTTCAGTTACCAGAGCATCATTAGTTAACTAATGTAAAGCTGTAAATTTCTTTATATACCTTCAAGATTATGTGAGAAAACAAAAGAGAAAGGAAAATATTATGCTCAACATTTTAGCTTAAATGAAATAATGATTTATCTATTAAGCAAAAAAAATACGATGTCACAAAGCTTCACTATACATACATATGTATTAGGGATGTTGAATACAGTGGACCCCCGACTTATGATATTAATCCATTCCAGAGAGCACATCGTAACGCGAAATTATCATAAGTCAAATTAATTTTCCCCATAAGAAATAATGGAAATCAAATTAATCCGTTCAAGACACCCAAAAGTATGAAAAAAAATTTTACCACATGAAATATACATTCTCCTACACACAAAAAGAAGGATACATGCACAATATACACATATTGTGCATGTACTAGTGTACTACGTGAAGAATAAATGACACTTACCATTACTGATGAGACACTGTGTCCTGGGAGTGCCTTTTCCTCCTGAGTACTGTAGGTCCTGTTTGGCATTTTCTTCCAGAACAGGCCTTATCACACTGTGTATGCCACTATGATTCTTAAATCTCTCAAACCAACCTTTGTTAGCCTTAAATTCACCAATATGAGCACTAGTTCCAGGCATTTTTTCCTGTTCACCTGGGTGTTAGTCGACTGGTGTGGGTCGCATCCTGGGGGAGAAGATTAAGGACCCCCAATGGAAATAAGTTAGACAGTCCTCTATGACACACTGACTTTCTTGGATTATCCTGGGTGGCTAACCCTATGGGGTTAATTGTTTCTTGGTATTCTCGATAAGCCACACCAACAACAGTCTCTCCACATCTTCGAGTAGTACAGCTGATCATAGTGCAGCAGCAGCAGCTGACCCTGGTACAGCAGCAGCAGCAGGTGACAGTGCTACAGCTGCAGCTGACGGTGGTACAGCAGTAGCAGCTGACCGTGGTGCAACAGCAGCAGCTGACCATGGTGCAGCAGCAGCTGACCGTGGTACAGCAGCAGCAGCAACTGACGGTGCTACAGCAGCAGCTGACGGTGGTACAGCAGCAGCATCAGCTGACCGTGGTGCAGCAGCAGCTGATGGTGGTACAGCAGCAGCAGCAGCTGACCGTGGTACAGCAGCAGCAGCAGCTGACTGTGGTGCAGCAGCAGCAGCTGACCGTGGTGCAGCAGCAGCAGCTGATTGTGGTGCAGCAGCAGCAGCTGACTGTGGTGCAGCAGCAGCAGCTGACTGTGGTGCAGCAGCAGCTGACTGTGGTGCAGCAGCAGCAGCAGCAGCTGACTGTGGTGCAGCAGCAGCAGCAGCAGCTGACTGTGGTGCAGCAGCAGCAGCAGCAGCTGACTGTGGTGCAGCAGCAGCAGCAGCAGCTGACTGTGGTGCAGCAGCAGCAGCAGCAGCTGACTGTGGTGCAGCAGCAGCAGCTGACTGTGGTACAATAGTACAGTGGACCCTCAACCAGCGATATTAATCCGTTCCTGAGAGCTCATCGTTAATCAAAATAATCGTTAGTCAAGTTAATTTTCCCCATAAGAAATAATGGAAATCAAATTAATCTGTGCAAGACACCCCAATGTATTGAAAAAAAAAATTTTTACCACATGAAATATTAATTTTAATACACACAAACTGAAGAAGACATGCACAGTTACATGACACTTACCTTTATTGAAGATCTGGTGATGATTGATGGGATGGGAGGAGGGGAGACCGTTGATCTTGTTAGTGTTTAGAAGGGGAATCCCCTTCCATTAGCACTTGAGGCAGCAAGTCTTTTTCTGGGGTTACTTCCCTTGTTCTTTTAATGCCACTAGGACCAGCTTCAGAGTCACTGGACTTCTGTCGCACAACATATCTGTCCATAGAGGCCTGTACCTCTCGTTCCTTTATCCTAAAGTGTTTCACAACATTGTCAGTGTAATAGTCACCAGCACGGCTTGCAATAGCTGTGTGAGGGTGATTTTCATCAAAAAAGGTTTGCACTTTAAGCCACTTTGCACACATTTCCTTAATCTTTGAAGTAGGCAACTTCTTCAATTTCTCTCTCCCCTCCTCCGAAGCAGTTTCCTCAGGTGTGGCCTCTTACTGTTGAAGATGATCTAGCAGCTCATCAGTGGTTTGTTCTTCATTGTCCTCCTCCACCAACTCTTCCACATCCTCCCCACTAACCTCACCAATATGAGCACTAGTTCCAGGCATTTTTTCTTGTTCACCTGGGTGTTAGTCAACTGTTGTGGGTCGCATCCTGGGGGACAAGATTAAGGACCACAATGGAAATAAGTTAGACAGTCCTCGATGATGCACTGACTTTCTTGGGTTATCCTGGGTGGCTAACCCTCCGGGGTTAATCGTTTCTCAGTAATTATTTCACGTTAAGCCACACCAACAACACTCTCTCCACATCTTCGAGTAATACAGCTGATGGTGGTGCAGCAACAACAACAGCTGACTGTTGTGCAGCAGCAGCTGCACCTTTGGCAAGAACAGCTTCCTTGATTGCCGTTTTCTTACCCACAATAGTAGCGATGGTTGATTGGGGTTTATTATACAACCTGACCAGGTCAGAGACACGCACTCCACTTTCATACTTAGCAATGATCTCTTTCTTCATCTCCATAGTAATTCTCACCCTTTTTGCTGTAGGGATGGCACTAGAAGCTTTCTTGGGGCCCATGGTGACTTATTTTGCAGGTGCAATCACTACAAAGGCTGTGATAATATGAAACGTTCCAGTTGTTGTATGTTTGGAAGCGACCGCGGTGGCTGACTGGCTTGTAAACACTGACACCCAAGGGACAAGTGAGGCGCGCTCAGGCCAAAGTGGATGCGTATGGTACGGAACAAATAGCACTGGTCGGGTTTTTAAGCGCTAGTTGAGGCAAAATTTTTGCGTTTAAATGTATCGCTAGTCAGATTTATCGTTAATCGATGCCATCGCTGGTTAGGGATCCACTGTATTTCGATAGTATTTCTCACCCTTTTTACCACAGGGTTGGCACTAGAAGCTTTCTTTGGGCCCATGGTGGCTTATTTAGCAGTTACAAGCACTGAAAACACTGGAATACAAAATTTATTGAATGTATGCATGCAACCGTCCGCCCTGGCTTGTAAACAATGTCACACTAGCTCAGCTGAGGTGCTCAGGCCAGACGGACCAGACGGCCGCATTCGGGACGAATGATGTAAATAGTTTTTTTCAACATAGGTCAGGGTCAAATTTTTATGCTGACAAGCATCGTAAGTCGGTTTTATCGCAGGTCGAGGCCATCGTAAGTCGAGGGTCCACTGTATTGCTATTGGCATGCATCAGTTAATTTTTATGCTAAAAGTATTGGTATTGATGCTGGTGGTTACTGGCTAATTTTGATAGTATTAATATTGGCAAAAATTTTGGTACTTGAACCCTTTGACTATCTGTCATGTGGATCTACATCATGAGCTCACTCAGATAAGTTGTGAGTGGTAAATTTTGGCCTAGATATGAAAGAATGGATCTGTGCAGTGTATACAGTATAAAAAAAAATCCTGCCTCATGCAGTGCATAATGGAAAGAGCAAAACTCTGACCTTGTTTGGCTTAAAATTAAAACTTTAAGGGGAGGGTTTTCTAAGATAGTTATTATGGTTTTACTAGCTGTTCCTTGGTATCATTTGATAGAATGAAAGACATTTCTACTGAAATAAAGATGATTTTAGTTGACTCCAGACTGGAAGTAACTTGAAAATCAGTCTTAAAGTAGTGGAAACATTCAGTTTTTGCCACGATTCCTGAGGATGGGTAAGGCCTTTCCTACACCCTCTGGTCTGTTTTATGGGTTTTTACTTGGTCTGATTCAATTAGTATTAATACACAACAGAAAGACATGGATTCAATCCTGGGTCCAGTAGAGACATTTGGCATCTTTCCTTATACCTGTTGTTACTGCTCACCTAGCAGTAAATATGAACCTAGGTGATAACAGATTGTTGTGCATCACAGCCTGGGATTTGGGGGTGGGGTGGGATAGTATATCTTAAATAGGGCTTGGCTTTGAAATGAGATGTGGTAGGATAACAGCTCTTAGCCTGCACACTGAACAGTGTAAAAGAAATAATGAAACAGACAGCAAGGGAACTGCTGCAAATCAAACAAAATGTAAAGCAACAGAGTTGACTGACAAATAAAATGGAAAAAATTAAACCAAATGTCACTAATTACAGAAGAATGTGCATCTGGTAGAAATCTTACATTCAGATATAGTATTTTGAGGTCTATCATTTTACAGATATACTGTACATCAGTAAGGTATATCCATGGCTGAGCTTGTGATAGATATTTCTAACTGAGAAACTGAAGAAAGGGTGAAGAGTTCTTATCATATTAGTCTAAGAAAATACGTTGCGTCAATATATTTTTTTGCAATTTATAACGAGGGTTCAGAGCCCACAAGATACTAAGATGGATGATTTGGTTACAATTCTTGTTCCCCTCGGAGATGAATAGCTATGGTGATACCAGAGTACCAAGTGCTGATTACTATGTAAAATACAATTACTGATAATGGAGAGTAAGGAAGCTGGGGGTCAGAAGTGACTGGTGGCTCACTACACTCAGTAAAACCTGTGATTTTTTCAAAAGTTAGTCAGTAGTAGAGTGCTGGAGTGGAACCAGAGTAGAAAAACCTAATAATTAGTGATGAGAACTTTTCAATTAATATTTAAAACCCTTATGTCATCTAGTGGATTAATCTGTTCCCACTTCTTACATCTTCTACCCTATAGATACAGAAATAAATAAAATCCAAACTCAACAATTTCAACCTAAATTCTATCAGGAGCATACCAGAAGAGAATAGTACTGCCAAGGCTGTCAGCAAAAAATAGGAAGCTACTCATAGTAAGATTAACTTAGAACATGGTAAACGTGGAAATCCTAATTCTTTATTCTATAAACCATTGATCATATACAAAGATGCGAAGCTGAAATCTATTCACCTTCTTTTGCTTTGGAATCGCTGATGTCGGCCTTGGAATATAGGTAGAGGATTGTCGGGTGGTTTAGGAGGAAGGTATTTTGGGCTTGGAGGTCTCGAAGACTTCAAATCTTGATTTTTCTCATCATTTCTATCAGAGCCATCCTTTGACGGATTATTTACAGTATTGTGAGTTTCCAATATGCTATTACTAACATCTTCATTTCCACTGAAACTATCTTTCACAGGCTCCTCCTTTATTGTTGCTACACCAACACTGTCTCTATATTCTCCTTGAGGTAATCTACTGGTGATAGCAGATAAATTGTGAGAGGGGGAAATGTTCTGAAGTGACTCATGAAGCGGAGGCTCCACTGTCTCGCGCTTAACTGTAGACTTTCCCAAGTGCTTCCGGACAGCTGGATGAAGCATTGCCTTATGTTTTTTCCCAACCTCTCCAGTCTTAAAAGATAAAGATAAAGGAATTAAATACATAAAAATAAAAGTTTTGTTTAAATACCATATTTAAAAACCAGCAGGCTTGCATGAGTGTGTTCGATAGGAGTGAATGGAGACGAATGGTATTTGGGACCTGACGATCTGTTGGAGTGTGAGCAGGGTAATATTTAGTGAAGGGATTCAGGGAAACCGGTTATTTTTATATAGCCGGACTTGAGTCCTGGAAATGGGAAGTACAATGCCTGCACTTTAAAGGAGGGGTTTGGGATATTAGCAGTTTGGAAGGATATGTTGTGTATCTTTATATGTATATGCTTCTAAACTGTTGTGTTCTGAGCACCTCTGCAAAAACAGTGATTATGTGTGAGTGAGGTGAAAGTGTTGAATGATGATGAAAGTATTTTCTTTTTGGGGATTTTTTCTTTCTTTTTGGGTCACCCTGCCTCGGTGGGAGACGGCTGACTTGTTGAAAAAAAAAAATTTAAAAACCACACTGAAGGAAACAATACAAATATAGCTTATGTCTTAAAAAAAAAATTAGTAGTTAGGCAAGTGGATGAAAATTTACCACTGGCACTAATGATTTTGGTACCCAATGTTTCATATTTTAGTTGTGAGAATAAAGGCATTTTCTTTTCTTGGGTCACCCTGCCTCGGTGGGTGACGGCCAGTGTTAAAAAAAAAAAAAAAAATAAAAGAGGGAGTCAGTGAGAACCATGACCCAAATGGTACTGATATCTACTTATTTTTTATTATCACACTGGCCGATTCCCACCAAGGCAGGGTGGCCCGAAAAAGAAAAACTCTCACCATCATTCACTCCATCACTGTCTTGCCAGACGGGTGCTTTACACTACAGTTTTTAAACTGCAACATTAACACCCCTCCTTCAGAGTGCAGGCACTGTACTTCCCATCTCCAGGACTCAAGTCCGGCCTGCCGGTTTCACTGAACCCCTTCATAAATGTTACTTTGCTCACACTCCAACAGCACGTCAAGTATTAAAAACCATTTGTCTCCATTAACTCCTATTAAACACGCTCACGCATGCCTGCTGGAAGTCCAAGCCCCTCGCACACAAAACCTCCTTTACCCCCTCCCTCCAACCTTTCCTAGGCCGACCCCTACCCTGCCTTCCTTCCACTACAGACTGATACACTCTTGAAGTCACTCTGTTTCGCTCCATTCTCTCTACATGTCCGAACCACCTCAACAACTCTTCCTCAGCCCTCTGGACAACAGTTTTGGTAATCCCGCACCTCCTCCTAACTTCCAAACTACGAATTCTCTGCATTATATTCACACCACGCATTGCCCTCAGACATGACATCTCCACTGCCTCCAGCCTTCTCCTCGCTGCAACATTCATCACCCATGCTTCACACCCATATAAGAGCATTGGTAAAACTATACTCTCATACATTCCCCTCTTTGCCTCCAAGGACAAAGTTCTTTGTCTCCACAGACTCCTAAGTGCACCGCTCACCCTTTACCCCTCATCAATTCTATGATTCACCTCATCTTTCATAGACCCATCCGCTGACACGTCCACTCCCAAATATCTGAATACATTCACCTCCTCTATACTCTCTCCCTCCAATCTGATATCCAATCTTTCATCACCTAATCTTTTTATCCTCATAACCTTACTCTTTCCTGTATTCACTTTTAATTTTCTTCTTTCGCACACCCTACCAAATTCATCCACCAATCTCTGCAACTTCTCTTCAGAATCTCCCAAGAGCACAGTGTCATCAGCAAAGAGCAACTGTGACAACTCCCACTTTATGTGTGATTCTTTATCTTTTAACTCCACGCCTTTTGCCAAGACCCTCGCATTTACTTCTCTTACAACCCCATCTATAAATATATTAAATAACCATGGTGACATCACACATCCTTGTCTAAGGCCTACTTTTACTGGGAAATAATTTCCCTCTTTCCTACATACTCTAACTTGAGCCTCACTATCCTCGTAAAAGCTCTTCGCTGCTTTCAGTAACCTACCTCCTACACCATACACCTGCAACATCTGCCACATTGCCTCCCTATCCACCCTGTCATACGCCTTTTCCAAATCCATAAATGCCACAAAGACCTCTTTAGCCTTATCTAAATACTGTTCACATATATGTTTCACTGTAAACACCTGGTCCACATACCCCTTACCTTTCCTAAAGCCTCCTTGTTCATCTGCTATCCTATTCTCCGTCTTACTCTTAATTCTTTCAATAATAACTCTACCATACACTTTACCAGGTATACTCAACAGACTTATCCCCCTATAATTTTTGCACTCTCTTTTGTCCCCTTTGCTGTTATACAAAGGAACTATGCACGCTCTCTGCCAATCCCTAGGTACCTTACCCTCTTCTATACATTTATTAAATATCTACTTAGCACCCACAAAATAGCCATAGATTTACAGCACAATAATGATGAACAGAATCTGAAAAAATTATACACGCAATTGCTCAATTTCTTGCAATTTGATGTTGGCTCATGACCCTAGATTTGGATATCACTGTTTTAAGGTTGAGTCAATACAAAACTGTTTTCATGTAGAGTACTGTACATTCAGTAGCAAAAACAGTTACAGTGATGTATACAGAATTTATAAAAATATAGCAAACCAAATTCAGATAAAAGGTACCCACCTTGTTAACAGCATAATAGTTGAGAGAGACACAGTAGCGGAGGGTATGAAGGCACTGCTGCAACCGTAAAATTCGATTATCAATCTCCTCCATCTCTGCCTGCTTCTCATTCAAGGCAAAACTAAATTCCTTATCTACCACCTTTATAACACGTTCACTTAATTCATCCTGAGCTGGAGGAAAAAAAATTCTACTAATTAACGAAGTAAAAGAATAGAAATTTAGAAAGAGGTGCTGAAAAAGCAAAGCTTTAATGCTCATTTTCTCTTGAAAAAACAATTTAATTTCTCACCTGGTCTGAATAATTTGTTTTACTTGTAGAACAATTGAGGAGTTTGGTAATTCAGTGCTTTAAACATCTACAGTTTCTGAAATCATTGATCTGATACTGTAGTGTCATTATCAACTTGCTATTACAATGACCTATTCGCTGTCATATTATACAGAAATCATCACAGAGCAAGAAAAACTATTCAAAATATTGTATAGTGTTTATATTCCACAAACCATATCTTTAATTTATTCTAAGTCACAGCAAATTTAGTTAAAAGAGAAATTATCTCCATTTTTGCTGAAAGAGGTGAGGTAGGCCAAATAATTCTTTGGTTCTGTATAAGCCAGGGGTCTCCAAACTGCAGCCTGCAGGTTACATATGGCCCGCCACAAGATTCTATATAGTCCACAGCAACTTGAATTATTTATAAATAGTAAAACTAATAAACCCTCATTTTCAGTCACTTAAAGTTAAAGACCTTGTTGCTGATAACAATTTATATGTCAAAATTTGTTCAAAATTTTTAGTTCTAATCTTTTCATTTTTTCAAATATACACTTCAGTTATGGAAGGAAAAAGGAAAAGAACAGTGCAGAGTAAGTGCTGCCTGTTTAATGAAGAATGGGGCATAAAGTACTTCTTTGTACAAACAGGTGATAAAGCCTCAAGTCGTATGCCACGAAACTGTTGTGGTTTTGAAGGAGTATGATGTACATCGGCACTATGAGACCAAACATAAACCAAGTTATTCCCAATTGACAGGAACACAGCATTCCGAAAAATTTTAATCAATGCAATGCAGGTTGCTTTTCCAACAAGGTTTTTTTTATGCTGAAGAGAGCTGAAAATGAAGCTTTAATCAGGGCCAGTTACAAAGTAGCTTATACGTTAGCTAAAAGAGGAAAGCCATTCACCGACAAGACCTGATCAAAGAGTGTATGATGGAAATAGTTGGAGAATTATGCCCAGAAAAAGCAAATCTGTTCAAAATCCTCAGTCTTGTGCATAATACTGTTGCTTGTAAAATTAAGGATACAGGAAGCAATATATTTCATCAAATTGCACACAAAACACAAAATTTTCAGATTTATTCTCTCGCACTTGATGACTCAAATGATGTGAGCGACACATCACAACTCCTAGTACATCCGTGGTGTCGACAATGAATTTAATGCCACATAAGAATTAGCATCAGTGCATAGCATGCACAACACAGGAACTGTAGAAGACATCTTCAGAGAATTGCAAAAAGCTATAGTATCAGAATATAACCTGGAGTGGAATAAACTACAATGTATGACAACTGATGAAGAAAAGAGCATGTCTGGGGTGAAGAAAAGTTTGGTTGGATAAATTACAAAAGCTTGTGAGGATGGTGGATTTTCATAACCCAAGTTTCTGCACTGCATTATCAATCAGTATATATTATGCAGAAAATACATGGATATGTCTTGAATTCTGAGACCTGTTGTTGAACAGTGAATTTCATTTGTTTTAACAGGCTTATTCATTGCCAGTTTTGTGATTTGATGAAAGAAACCAATTCTGAGTTTGTTGACTTGACTTATTATACAGTGGTTCAGTGGCTTAGTTGTGGAAAGGTTCTATCATGGTTCTTTCAGCTCAGAAAGGAAACCGAGTCCTTTCTCACAGAGAAGAATCAACCCGAACCACTTTTGTCGGACACTGACTGGCTCTGGAAATGGGCATTTTTTGCAGATGTAACAAGCTGAAGGAATCAATTGAGTCTGAGGTTGCAAGGCAAAACAAATTTGATTTGTGATCTATTCATGCATGTCAAGACATTCAAGGAAAAACTGATGCTATTTGAAGGGCAGGTGAAAGTTTCTAACTTGGTTCTTTTTTTATGCTTTGAAAAATTTCACGAAGAAAGTGAAGCAGAATTTCCTTCTTTATTTGCAACAGAAATCATTAATGACTTACAAAAACAAATTCAGAAAACAAAAACAAATTCTGATCTGATGGAAAAACAGATGAAATAAAGCTGTTTCAAAATCCATTTGACTGCAATGTTGAAACACTCTCGAATCAGTTTCAAATGGAAATTATTGATCTCCAGTCAGATAACATGCTGAAAGAAAAGTATAAAGAAGGAAATCTAATCCCATTTTATAAATCTTTACAGCCTGAACAGTTTCCAAATTCGAAGCGATTTGATTGTGGATTCGTACCAGTTTTTGGAGTAACATACCACTGTGAACAAACATTTTCAAAAATGAATTAAGTAAAGTCCAAATATTGCACATATTTATCTGATGAGCACTGAAGTCCATTCTAATAACTGGCTCCTCAAGCTTGAAACCTAAGTTCAGCAATATTTTGAAATTAAAAAATCCATTCCATTATTTCCATTAATCTTGTGCCAGCTTTTCTCATCTGCAGTTCAGTAACTAATTATACTGTCAGAGAATTGGCTTATGTTTGACATTTTTACTCATTATATATCATTTCTCAGTGTAAGCACGATACTGTTTCTTCATAAGTGTCATATTTCTCTTTTGTTTTGAATCACATGCTGATTACAGAAAGGATCCAATTAAAACTTATTCATTCATTTAAATTTAATTCATTCATTTATATTTATTTATAAGACTAATTTTTTTTTTGGCCCGCAAAAATGTGTAAAATATATGATGTGACTGTCATCGTGAAAAGTTTGGAGACCCCTGATATAAGAAAACATCATTTATATTTTGGGTTGACTCCAATAATGTCCACTTTTAAATGGTCATGGTTAAATGTTTATAGTAACACAACGGATGCTAATATACTATATGACATATGTTATACAATACTCAATGAATACATTCAGAATGATGTGCAATAAATTAGGCTTTGTGGAAAAAGGTAGGATTTACAAATAACTGAGACGAGTGACACATTTAAAAAAATTATGTGCACAGAAGCATGGAATATCACATTATTTTAACTTTAGAGGCACCTTTCAATTGGGCTACTTAAATTGCCGCTACCCTGTAACCATAAACTGAAGATATGAAAAAGAAAAAAAAGAAGTGGAAATTGTAAGCTTTCTTAATGCCAAAATTATTTCACAGGTTGTATGAAGTTAAACAGCATGCAGCAATGATACAGTGATTGCTTAGATACCAAAAGAATGACAAAGTGCTACTTCCTGCATTACTAGTTTTGTCCCTGAATCATATTTCTTACTGGACTATACATCAGCAAAAAAGCTCATCATTCCAATAAATTTTTAAGTGCTGCATCCTCTACTCTCTCAAGTATGTCTTCAACTGTGAATGTTGCAATACAATGGATAAGTTATTGGTGTTGGGCAAAGCATAGAATCCTTGAGTGCTTAAGAATGTACATCACTTTCATGTACTTTACATGGCTCTGAATAATGCCTATATAGACGAAGATATTTTTTAAAGATTAATTTAACCATAACTTTATACAGTCATTGAAAAATTTCAATAGTACTGTAATGCCTGAGGCCAATAAAACTAACCTACTTCTAGACAACTGCAGGGATCCACCTCATCCAACTGAATTGCGCAATTTTATTAATGATTATTGCATTTGAAGTTTGAAACTTCACGCAAGCAACCATGATTAGAGAGTTAAGAAACACAAAAAACTAAGTGTCATTACTGTACATATTTTTTTTTTTAAGAAACCTGGCCAATCATTACAAAGTGTGTGGCAAAACTTTGGCCTGCTATAAAGTTTGTTTACAGTGATAATGATGATGACAAGTTTACTGGGTTTCAAGATGTACCATCAGTGAACTCTCAACTTATGCAGTGTGTTCCAAGTACAGTACATAACTCAGGTACTTCCATGACCAATGATGGATGACAGAGGGATGGTAACATTGTGACGCAGAAGTTTCAAGTGCATATGTCAAAGACACTTGAGCAAATCACTGATATGGTTTTTAAACCCTGAGCCTAATATTTTCTCATGGGATTCTGAGGATGTGGATATTTTATCATGATCCAAGGCAGACATGTACTGTATCTCAAAAATTTTGCAAAATTCACAAAGAGAAGCTTATCTTATTATTGCATTGTTATTAAATGCTATTCAGGCATATTTTAATAGCATAAGAAATGCAAATGGCAAACAAGCCACCATGCAAGGTATTTTACAGTCTCCAGATGGTGTCAGAGGTAATGCAGTGGCTTTTTTTCAAAGCCATTGCCTCATTCCAAGCTTTGTAAAACATGACACAGAAGATGTTTCCATTGACAGAACACTCCAGCCACTCTCAAGCATGGTGGACAAATCAATCAACAGCACACCTACTCATATACCACAGTCATAATTATGCATCATCTTTCTACACCAATAAGGTCCAATAAGGAATATAGCATGATTTTTCAAAGTACTCAGTACTGCATACACATGATGTTTTAAGCAAGATTTTGATTTTACTTTGTCATGTTTTGGGCTCCGACTCCAACTTTCCGAAAAATCCAGACTTTTGACGAGTCAGGTCATAATCATTTCTGAAAATTGGAGCACTATTTAATTTTCTTTAATAAATTTACTTTACTATTACTTTAGTACATATATAAGTTCTAATATCAACAAATAAAAAATATGCAGATTCCAGTAAATACAGTGGACCCCCGCATAACGATGGCATCGCATAGCGATTTTTCCGCATAACGATTACTTTTATCGCAAAATTTTTGCCCCGCATACCGATTAAAAACCCGCATACCGATTTTCGTCCGAGACGCGTCCAATGTGCCCTCACATGTGCCGGCCGTCCCATTGTTTACCAGCCAGCCTCCGCGGTAACATCCAAGCATACACTCGGAATATTTCGTATTATTACAGTGTTTTCGGTGGTGTTTCTGGAAAATAAGTGACCATGGGCCCCAAGAAAGCTTCTAGTGCCAACCCTGTGGTAAAAAGGGTGAGAATTAGTATGGAAATTAAGAAAGATTTTGAAGGGTTTGGGGCTAACCCTGAGAAGCCTATGCCAGTTGTGGAATCCATTGTGCCTACTTCAAAGATTAAGGAAATGTGTGCAGAGTGGTTTGAACTGCAAACCTTTATAGATGAAAATCACCCTGACACAGCTGTTGCAAGCCGTGCTTGTGACTATTTCAATGACAATGTTATGGCCCATTTTAGGAAAGTCTTGAAGAAACGGGAGGTACAGAGCTCTATGGACAGATTTGTTGTGCGACAGAGGTCCAGTGACTCTGAAGCTGGTCCTAGTGGCATTAAAAGAAGAAGGGAAGTAACCCCAGAAAAGGACTTGCTACCTCAAGTCCTAATGGAAGGGGATTCCCCTTCTAAACAGTAAGAAGATAATGCTCTCCCCTCCTCCCATCCCATCAATCATCACCAGATCTTCAATAAAAGTAAGTGTCATGTAATTGTGCATGCCTTTTTCAGTTTGTGTGTATTAAAATTAACATTTCATGTGGTAAAAAAAAATTTTTTTCATACTTTTGGGCGTCTTGCACGGATTAATTTTATTTCCATTATTTCTTATGGGGAAAATTAATTCGCATAACGATTATTTCGCATAACGATGAGCCCTCTTGCACGGATTAAAATCGTTAACCGGGGGTCCACTGTATTATAGGACTAGTGACAACTTTATTACTCTATTAACTTTTAGACAGTCACATTTGTAAAAACCCTCGAGTCTAGCTTCCAGTTGCAAAAGGACGTTCAGATTGGAGGACCCTATTACATCTATTAAAAATGAGATGGGGATGACAGTCTTTTATTCAAGTTTATATTCTCAAATATACATATTAAGCATTACCATAGAGTTCCAACAAGTAACAAGAAAAGACAAATCTAACTTGATGCACCAGCATATCTTACCTCTCTTGTGCATCTCCCTCATTCGCTTGGCATCTGGTGGACGGGTGTAATCTGGATCCTCAGTGCTTAACATTCTCTTAGAACCAGGAACCTGAGAGCTGTCTCCATTCTCTTCTTCCTCCATCTTCTTGACATTATTGTCAGCACTGATGTTACAGTAACTGTGGCCCTGTTAAAATAATCTTTAGTCATTACTATATTTGTCAAATATTCATCTAAATCCATTTACTCAAACTATTTTGTACACAGACAGTATAATACAGCAATACAAACACTTCACAGTAGTAGGAACAAGATAAAAAATATATACATTTACACAGAAAAATCTTGAGAGTACTGGGTTCATTATTGAAGACTTTAGGTTTCAGTTACCTTCCTGTTTATTGCTGTTCCTGTTAATTTTATACGTACTGTACAATATTTCACATAATTTTAATTTTCATGAAGACTGATGTGTATAAAGAAAACAAAAGTTTCTTTCACAGGACAACTAACTATTAATGATAAATTAACGAGAAAAATATCCACTTGTGGACTTAAATGCTAAACAGCAATGCTTGCAAACTTATCACTTCCATATTTGTAGCGCTCTTAAGATCTTTTCTACCATGTTCACATGCGTTTTATAGATACCGAACAATTTTATTAATATCTCTCCATCCATATATTTGAAATTTTTTACAATTCATCAGTGTAGCAAACAAGTTTCTTAAATTTTTTATATGATTTTTCAGAGAAAGTCTTTCACAATAACTCCTAGATCACTCCCTCTATCTGAAGCATTTATTTAATATTTTATAATACAACCTATATTTTTGATGGGGCCTGTTTCTGCTATCTCCCATCTCCTTCACACTGCAATTTTCTACATTAAATGCCATCATCCAACTTTTGCTTCATTTGTTCAGTATATTGAGATTGTCATGTAAGTTTTCATTAATTTTGATTACTTATTTTGCACAAGATTTTTGTAACATCCGCAAACTTTCATATACAGTAGTTTTTTATTCCTTTTGGCAAATTATTTAAATACAGCCTCTCCTCACTTAGTGACGTACTCATTTACTGACGCCTCGGATTTACGACGGGCTCTCTCACCAGTATGCATACCTAAATAATGTATATTAATACTGATTTCTATTCTATTTATTTCAATATACAGTACACTATTGTATAAACATTTAAAAATACACCAGAAATGTTATAAATGATGCAAAGGTGACATTAAAACTATCAAAGATGGGTGACACAAACCCACTATGTACCATTATAGTAGCGACGAATTCGTTTAGCAACGTGGTTTTAGGAATGGAACTCCGTCGTTAAGTGAAGAGAGGTTGTACCGCAAATTAAAGATATTATTGAAGCAAGCAGTCATCCTTTTGGCACCACAGTGATAGTATATTCTGTACCACTGGTTGTGGTATGACATTTTTCATCTTGCTACTTTGTGTGCTGTATTTCCTATCAAACAAAAAATCTCTCATTATTGTACAGTGGACCCCTGGTTAACGATATTTTTTCACTCCAGAAGTATGTTCAGGTGCCAGTACTGACAGAATTTGTTCCCATAAGGAATATTGTGAAGTAGATTAGTCCATTTCAGACCCCCAAACATACACGTACAAACGCACTTACATAATTACACTTACATAATTGGTCGCATTCGGAGGTAATCGTTATGCGGGGGTCCACTGTATTTGTTTTCCATTTATTCCTCCTGAGTTTTGTACAGATACGCAACATTAGAAAACTTTAACCCTTAAACTTTCCAAACGTAGATCTACATTCACTCACGTAGCACTCCGAACGTAGATCTACATTCGATTTTACATGCTTTATTTAAAAAACGCAGATCTATGTTCAGAGCACTACGAGAGTGAACGTAGACTTACGTTTGGACAGTTTAAGGGTTAATTAGGTTAAGTTTCACTCCCCCGGAGCTTTATCAATACAATCATTGGATTAATGACCCTCCAGGTTGGTGAGAGGTACCCTAATAAGTTTCTGAATGTTGCATGGGCCTGTGGCTCAGTAGGCAACAATCTTGCCTCACACACTGAGTGTCTGTAGTTCAATCCCCAGCATGGATGAAAACACTGGGCATGTTTCCCAACACATGCTGCTCCAGTTCACCTAGCAGTAAGTAGGTATCTGGGTGTTAGCTGACTGGTGTGGGTCGCATCCTGGGGGATAAGATTAAAGGACTCCAATGGAAATAAGACAGTCCTTGATGACACACTGACTATCTTGGGTTTTCCTAGGTGGCTAACCCTCTGGGTTAAAAAATCCGAACAAATCTTATCTTATTAAATAGTCTATTATATACTTTTATTCACTAACCCAGAATAACCCAAGAAAGGAAGTGCGTCATTGAGGACTGTCTGTCTTACTTCCACTGGCGTCCTCAATCTCCTCCTCCAGGATGCGACCCACGCCAGTCGACTAACATCCAAGTACCTACTTGCTTGTTAGGTGAACAGAACAACAGGTTTAAGGAAACATGCCCAGTGTTTCCACCCTTGCCAGGGATTGAACCATGGACACTTAGCATGTGAAGCGATAGCATTACCTACCAGGCCACGGGTAACATTAAATGAAATACACTACAATACATTTATACTATCAAAAACCACATATAGTATTGTGTGTTATTACAAATCAAATTATTTTGAGTATATATGGCAAATAAATGACTAGGTTATGGTAGCACATAACAATGGGTAACTGATTAGATTGTTAGCAGAAATTGATAATGGATTACGTTATATTTGTGAATAAGAATTTATAATTGATTAAATTATACTAGTGAACAGGAATTGATAATTAATTAGGCTGTGCTAGTGAATAGGAACTGACAATTGATTAAATTAGGTTAGTTAATAGGTACTGATAATTGATTAGGTTAGTGAATATGAATGAGTAACTGATTAGGCTAAGTTACTGAATATCAGTGGATAATTGACTAGGTAACGGTAGTGAATATCAATAGATAATTGTTAGGTAAGGTTAGTGAATATCAATGGATAATTGAATTATGGTTATAACTTAACTGAATAGGTCAAATAAGTTCATGTCATTAACTATACTATATACATCTGGAAGTCGTTTTTTCCCATTATAATGGTCAAAATAACTTTCAGACATTATGAACTGACAGCAGACATTCTGGGAATATTACTAAAGACATATGTGCATTTAATCTAATGATTCTTCCATTATTTGACGTTTTTCTGAATAGACCTAATGGGAGTAGGCCAAATGCCCATAATGGAATAGACCCACAATGGGCTTATCATAAATCAATGCCCCAAGGATATAAATCATTCCATTACCTGCAGTCATTAATTACACATCACTCACGTAATTATTGCAAATTAAAATTAATGTTATTAATTTCCAATGGTAAACAAACTTTTATTACGTTAAAATTAATTACATTAATTATAAATAAGTATAAAACAATACTTACTACTATAATAAGGGTGAAAAATGCAGATTCCCAAGCTTACAGTTAAGTATATTGAGATAATGCCATTTAAAAAAACAGAAAAATATATTTACCGCTAGATAATGTGAGGCCAACCCAAACATCTTGCCTGAACCCCCCACACCAACCCTCTCAAAAATAGATTTCTACGCCTCAAGTGAAGCCCTGAGGGAAGCCTCACCGGGGTGGCTGGAAGCCCTGACACTTGTGCTCCAGTGGTGATCATAATTGGCAGTGGCAGAAGTGTAATGGAAGTAAATTAATGGGAAATAAGAGGAGCGTGGAGGCGGGCGAGGGCCGGCCCACACATGGCAACACAGGCTCCACTCAACACAATAATATTTATGTATTCTCTTATTTTTTAAGAAAATGAAATATTCGGTACACTGGTATATATAAGAGGCAATTGTAATAGTATTTCTAGTTCTGTCTTTTACTAACATCCTGTTTCATTTCACATTTACATACTGTCAATCAATGACTGTAATGTGTGTATATATATATATATATATATATATATATATATATATATATATATATATATATATATATATATATATATATATATATATATATATATATATATATATATATTATATATATATATATATATATATATATATATATATATATATATATATATATATATATATATATATATTATATATATATATATATATATATACATATATATATATATATATATATATATATATATATATATATATATATATATATATATATATATGTGTGTGTGTGTGTGTGTGTGTGTGTGTGTGTGTGTGTGTGTGTAGATCAAGTGTTTACATTGAAGCATATATGTGAACAGTATTTAGATAAAGGTAGGGAAGTTTTTATTGCATTTATGGATTTAGAAAAGGCATATGATAGAGTGGATAGAGGAGCAATGTGGCAGATGTTGCAAGTATATGGAATAGGTGGTAAGTTACTAAATGCTGTAAAGAGCTTTTATGAGGATAGTGAGGCTCAGGTTAGGGTGTGTAGAAGAGAGGGAGAATACTTCCCGGTAAAAGTAGGTCTTAGACAGGGATGTGTAATGTCACCATGGTTGTTTAATATATTTATAGATGGGGTTGTAAAAGAAGTAAATGCTAGGGTGTTCGGGAGAGGGGTGGGATTAAATTATGGGGAATCAAATTCAAAATGGGAATTGACACAGTTACTTTTTGCAGATGATACTGTGCTTATGGGAGATTCTAAAAAAAATTGCAAAGGTTAGTGGATGAGTTTGAGAATGTGTGTAAAGGTAGAAAGTTGAAATTGAACATAGAAAAGAGTAAGGTGATGAGGGTATCAAATGATTTAGATAAAGAAAAATTGGATATCAAATTGGGGAGGAGGAGTATGGAAGAAGTGAATGTTTTCAGATACTTGGGAGTTGACGTGTCGGCGGATGGATTTATGAAGGATGAGGTTAATCATAGAATTGATGAGGGAAAAAAGGTGAGTGGTGCGTTGAGGTATATGTGGAGTCAAAAAACGTTATCTATGGAGGCAAAGAAGGGAATGTATGAAAGTATAGTTGTACCAACACTCTTATATCGATGTGAAGCTTGGGTGGTAAATGCAGCAGCGAGGAGATGGTTGGAGGCAGTGGAGATGTCCTGTTTAAGGGCAATGTGTGGTGTAAATATTATGCAGAAAATTCGAAGTGTGGAAATTAGGAGAAGGTGTGGAGTTAATAAAAGCATTAGTCAGAGGGCAGAAGAGGGGTTGTTGAGGTGGTTTGGTCATTTAGAGAGAATGGATCAAAGTAGAATGGTATGGAAAGCATATAAATCTATAGGGGAAGGAAAGAGGGGTAGGGGTCGTCCTCGAAAGGGTTGGAAAGAGGGGGTAAAGGAGGTTTTGTGGGCGAGGGGCTTGGACTTCCAGCAAGCGTGCATGAGCGTGTTAGATAGGAGTGAATGGAGACGAATGATACTTGGGACCTGACGATCTGTTGGAGTGTGAGCAGGGTAATATTTAGTGAAGGGATTCAGGGAAACCGGTTATTTTCATATAGTCGGACTTGAGTCCTGGAAATGGGAAGTACAATGCCTGCACTTTAAAGGAGGGTTTGGGATATTGGCAGTTTGGAGGGATATGTTGTGTATCTTTATATGTATATGCTTCTAAACTGTTGTATTCTGAGCACCTCTGCAAAAGCAGTGATAATGTGCGAGTGTGGTGAAAGTGTTGAATGATGATGAAAGTATTTTCTTTTTGGGGATTTTCTTTCTTTTTTGGGTCACCCTGCCTCGGTGGGAGACGACCGACTTGTTGAATATATATATATATATATATATATATATATATATATATATATATATATAATATATATATATATATATATATATATATATATATATATATATATATATATATATATATATACACGAAGGTGTGTATCTCTATATATATATAATTGTGTATATACACCCAAAATTGTATATCTCTCTCTATATATACAGTACACCTAGACCTGTGTATCTCAATGAATATACACGAAGAAGTGTGTCTCTTAGTATATGTATATATTCCACAAGGTGTGTACGATAAGAGACAACTCTGTAAGTGTCAGGGGCCCAAGACTGTTCAACTGCCTCCCAGCATGCATAAAGGGGATTACTAATAGACCCCTGACTGTCTTCAAGAAGGCACTGGACAGGCATCTAAAGTCAGTACTTGACCAGCAGGCCTGTGGTTCCTACGTCGGGTTGCGTGTGGCCAACAGTAACAGCCTGGATGATCAGGCCCTGATCCACCATGAGGCCTGGTCACAGACCGGGCCGAGGGGGCGTTGACCCCCGAAACCCTCTTCAGGTATACCCTTCTGTGTATATTACACCACCCATAAATATAAATAAATAAATATATATATATATATATATATATATATATATATATATATATATATATATATATATATATATATATATATATATATATATATATATATATATATATATATATATATATATGCAAAACAACCACTCTGAAAGAATAGAGAAATTCCAAGCGCTTTCGTGACTACTCACATTATCAAGGAACTATAGTTCCTTGATAATGTGAGTAGTCACGAAAGCGCTTGGAATTTCTCTATTCTTTCAGAGTGGTTGTTTTGCATATTCTGAAATCAACCTGTTTACTGTGATCTTATTGCAATATATATATATATATATATATATATATATATATATATATATATATATATATATATATATATATATATATATATATATATATATATATATAGAGAGAGAGAGAGAGAGAGAGAGAGAGAGAGAGAGAGAGAGAGAGAGAGAAGCGCTAAACCCGTAGGGATTATACAGCACAGAAGCTAAGAATAGACCCCTGCAACCACAAATAGGTGAGTACACACACACACACACACACACACACACACACACTGCGCGGAATAGACGAGGTGGACAAAGACGGGATGTTCCAGAGATGGGACACAAGAGGTCACAATTGGAAGTTGAAGACTCAGATGAATTAAAGGGATATTAGGAAGTATTTCTTCAGTCATAGAGTAGTCAGGCCATGGAATAGCCTAGAAAGTGATGTAGTGGAGGCAGGAACCATACATAGTTTTAAGGCGAGGTATGATAGAGCTCATGGGGCAGGGAGAGAGAGGACCTAGTAGCATTCAGCGAAGAGGCGGGGCCAGGAGCTGTGAATCGACCCCTGCAACCACAAATAGGTGAGTACACACACACACACACACACACACACACACACACACACACACACACACACACAGGTCCGGTGGCCTGGTGGCTAAAGCTCTCGCTTCACACACGGAGGGCCCGGGTTCGATTCCCGGCGGGTGGAAACATTTCGACACGTTTCCTTACACCTGTTGTCCTGTTCACCTAGCAGTAAATAGGTACCTGGGTGTTAGTCGACTGGTGTGGGTCGCATCCTGGGGACAAGATTAAGGACCCCAATGGAAATAAGTTAGACAGTCCTCGATGACGCACTGACTTTCTTGGGTTATCCTGGGTGGCTAACCCTCTGGGGTTAAAAATCTGAACGAACTCTTATCTTATCTTATCTTATAAGGTGGACAGAGACAGAATGTTCCAGAGATGGGATACAGAAACAAGAGGTCACAATTGGAAGTTGAAGACTCAGATGAGTCGAAGGGATGTTAACAATATTTCTTCAGTCATAGAGTTGTCAGGACGTGGCATAGTCTGGCAAGTGATGTAGTGGAGGCAGGAACCATACATAGTTTGAAGACGAGGCATGATAAAGCTCATGGAGTAGGGAGAGAGAAGACCCAGTAGCAGTCAGTGAAGAAGCGGGGCCAGGAGCTGAGTCTCGACCCCTGCAACCACAAATAAGTGAGTACACATATTCAGGTATCTTGCAGTGTGTATATATCTATATATCTATGTGTATATACACTATTTTTATCAGGGGAAAGTACTAAATCAGTAGGGCCGTACAGCACCTGGGAGAAAGGGAGGCAATCAGTTTCGATCCAAGGGAGGATAGATCCAATTCCTTGAATCAAGAGCTCCTCACCTGCGTCAAGGCACCTTCCTCCCTTGAGGGGTCGGTGTTATACACCATTAGTGTCTTTCAGTGTATATACACCCGAAAGTGCATATCTCAGTGTATATACACCCAGAAGTCTCACATAATGTATATGCCCAGAGATGCGGATCTCACTATTTATACACCCAAAGATGAACATTAAAATGGTATAAAATACCGACAGATTGTTAGGTAAGACACATATGTAACAGTTAGGTATCTTTATTACGAAACGTTTCGCCTACACAGTAGGCTTCTTCAGTCGAGTACAGAAAAGTTGATAGAAGCAGAAGATACTTGAAGACGATGTAATCAGTCCATCACCCTTAAAGTTTTGAGGTGGTCAGTCCCTCAGTCTGGAGAAGAGCATTGTTCCGTTGTCTGAAACAATATGAAGTTGAAGTGACAGGATGGAGCCTTTATATGTGCCAGGAGGTGAGACGGAGGTTGCTTTGGGAGGGCAGGTCCCTCTCAAACCCAGCCGTTCTCACTAGTAGAGGTCGAAGTTGATGGTCTGTACCAAGATACCCTTGTGTTGCAGTGTCTGACAGAATGAACATTAAAATGGTATAAAATACCGACAGATTGTTAGGTAAGACACATATGTAACAGTTAGGTATCTTTATTACGAAACGTTTCGCCTACACAGTAGG